AAAAAAGAAATCAACACCAAAGCAATGCCTGATAAAAAAGTTGGGAATAATAATAATTTAAATAATTTAATTATTTATCCTAATGTTGAACGGATAATCTTGGATCAATATTCTATTTTTTCGCATGATGAGAGCCGCAGCTCAATAATTTAGCTAAAAACAAGAGCATAAAATACATAAGATAGATATAACTATGGAGACAAAACATACCTAAAAAGACCCGAAGATAGAATAGGGTAACAGAAATGGTGGAAACAATCAAACAACACCAAAATTAAATACCAAGAATCCATTCAAAGTATGTTATCAAAAAGGGTGAAACACTACTCTTTTTTTTTGGACTTTTGAGTATCGCATATGAAGCTTCAAATTCAATACCTCTTGATTGATAGGCAAATTTCTTAACTAACAAATCTAGATGAGCAGAGTGGTCAAACACTATTTCAGATTAGAGTTGTTCAAAAGTGCAACAATCCTAAATCTTAAGAAGCGTGGGGGCATCGATCTTTCTTATCATATCTGTTAAATACATAAATTGAAATTTAACACGAGGAATTAAGTTCTCATGTTTATTAGGGGTGTCAATTACTGACACGGCATTAAACAATTAAAATCAGGCCCCAAACTCGACATGGGAAAATTCGAGTTAGGTTTAACCCGAGATAGAAATGGGTCGGGTTCAGGTCCAATTTTTTTGACACGTTACCAATTTGGTTGGTTTCCCGTCAATCTGATAACCTTTGTTGTTGACCGACTGCTCCCGTGTCACTTCTTGTTAATCCCCTTTACGTACTACTTTAGGCATTTAACACACACACACACACACTATATATATATATATATATATATATATATATATATATATATATATATTAATAATATATATATAATATATATATATATTTATATATATATTAATATTATATATATATATATCTGTGTGTGTATACAGTATATGTATATATATGCGATATGTCATCTAAAAATATCTTGATCTGCCACGAATCTCGAAACAAAATCAAGTTGGAAACTTCAAAAATTAATTCAGAGACCATCCGAACTCGATTTTCAGCAAACTTAAATCGAAACTGAGCGTCTCGGAAAATACGAACCCAAACGACACCAAATTCGACTCAATCCGAGCCCAAATGGCCAAATCAAGGACCCGAAGATTTGTTGGAGGTTCAAACCCATATTTTGGATTACCAAACGGCTTCTAACATAACAAACTTTATTAGTCGAATCGAGCGGCTTGACGAGAAGAATCCAACGAAGCCCAAGATCACCGGAATTCCGACATCATTTTAGATCTTCAAATGCCTAAAGAACGGGCATTATTAAGAGATTTCAATATGGCCATCCATCCAACCACTCCCAACTTACCCTTTGATCCTCTACCTTTTATGGGCCATGCCATCCCAAAATTTATAAATAAGCTTCCCACTTCCTCATGAGGGGGACCCCCGAAGCCCTAAGAAAAAAAAGAGAGAGATTGGAGAATGGAGATCGCTCTTGCCTCCTCGACCACCGCCGGACCTTCGCCGGACCACCCATTTGAGGCCCTCACCTCAGCCGGACCACCACGTGACGCCGTTGCTCCGCCGGACCACCACTTGAGGCCCTCACCTCCGTCGGACCACCACGTGATGCCGTTGCTCCGCCGGACCACCACTTGAGGCCCTCGCCTCCGCCGGACCACCGCCTGACGCCATTGCTCCGCCGTACCACCACTTGAGGACCTCGCCTCCGCCGAACCACCGCCTGACGTACGCCATTGCTTCCGCCTGGACCACCACCTTGAGGCCCTCACCTCCGCCGGACTACCGCCTGACGTCGTTGCTCCGCCGAACCACCACTTGAGGCCCTCGCCTCCGTCGGACCACCGCCTGACGCCATTGCTCTGCCGGACCACCACTTGAGGCCCTCGCCTCCGCTGGACCACCGCCTAACGTCGTAGCTCCGCCGGACCACTACTTAAGGCCCTCACCTCCGTCGGACCACCGCCTGACGCCGTTGCTCCGCCGGACACCACCTGAAGCCCGGACTTCTGCCGGATCATCATCTGAGACCCGGACTTCCACTGGACCACTACCTGAGGCCCGTACTTCCGCCGTACCACTACTTGAGACTCTATGCTCCACCAGGACACTACCTGAAGCTCGGACTTCCGTCGGACTGTCACTTGAGGCCTCGAGCTCCACCAGGCCATCACCTAATGCCCGGAGTTCTACCGAAATACCATCCTTTTACTACGGTCTTTCAGACTCCTAATCTCCTGCCGACTACGGTCCTCCCGACCTCCGTCGCCTACTACGGTCACTCCGACCTCCATCACCAGACAACGGTCTTTCAGACCCCAGTCTCCTGCAGAATACGGTCCTCCCGACCTCCATCGCCTACTATGGTCACTCCGATCTCCATCACCAGACAACGGTCTTTTAGACCCCGGTCTTCTACCGACTACGGTCCTCCCGACCTCTGTCGCCTACTATGGTCACTCCGACCTCCATCACCAGACAATGGTCTTTAAGACCCCAGTCTCCTGCCAACTACGATCCTTCTGACCTCCGTCGCCTACTATGGTCTTTCCGACCTCCATCAGCAGACAACTGTCTTTCTGATCCCGGTCTCCTGCCAACTACGGTCCTTCTGATTTCCGTCGCCTACTATGGTCCTTCCGACCTCTATCAACAGACAACGGTATTTCTGACCCCGGTCACCTGCTGACTATGGTCCTACTGATTTCTATCTCTTGCTGACAATGGCCCCTCCAACCAAATAAACATGTTTATGTTGATTATTGTAACTCCCACAATGTAATGCGCTCTATATGACATACATTTGTAGCATCAGACCAAGGTCTTCTCCCTAAGAAGGGCCTCATTTGTAATCGACTGCAAATACTAGTGGATTCATTCAAATTGGGCCAAGTCCCGTGGTTTTTCCTCCTTTTTCAGGAGTTTCCACGTAAAAACTTTGGTGTCTCTTATAAATGTTACACCCTCTCTCACTTATCTGCTTGTGTGTTGGATCTTCGTACAATGCTTAAACGTTAAACTATATATTTTTCTACCGTCGCGAACACTCCAGTACGCAACAATGTGTATACTGCATATGTATATATATATATGCCTTTCTAAAAAAATTATAAATAGACCCATCTCTCTACCTAAAGGGGATCTCTCTACCTGAAGGGGAGCTTGAATTATTAGTCTGAGATTTAAGATAGCTCATATGCTTGAATAATTATAGAGCTCCACAAACCATAACCGGAGTGCTCCTTTCAAGACCACCACGTGACCACTACTATCGGGCAAACACTCAAACACCATTTGAACAGCATAGTTGGACCATGAATATCACAATTGTCAATAAATTGCTACCTAATTATAGTCTTTCGACTTCCATCACCTGACTAAGATTTCATGACTACCATGGCCCCACAATCCTCCAACAAATGTTAGTCAATTGTGGTGATCTGCGAATTATTGCTTGATTATAGTGCTACATCCACCGTCGCCTAACTAAATCCTCCAACATACGGCCATTGTCGTCTGACTGGGGTAGTTCGACCTCCATCACCAAATTATAATCCATTGACCACTATTTGATTACCAACCTCTAAAAGTCATTTCTTGACCCTATAAATTATGCTAGAATTCTTAATCTCTTGACTCCTCCCCTCAACCTAAAATGAGCAGAACGAACAATTTCTTAAAATAACTCTCATGTCACAGAACTCTTACAACTTCCATCATGGAATCCGTCCAGTCCAATTTCCGTCTCCTATTTTGCATCAAAATCAAATTTTTACCAATCATAGGAAAGGGCAAGGAAGCAAGGAGAGGTGGGAAGGAGGGACTTAAAAGAAAGGAAACCATTTATCCATCCAGAAAGAACCAGAAGCAGAAAAATGCGGAGAGCGAGACCAACCAAAAATGTTGAAAGTCAATATCATTGGTAGGAGGGCGGAGCGCAAATGCCTCTGGCTAATTTCGTAGTTCCCTTTAGTTAAGTTCTTGCAAACTATTTCCTTATTTGAATGGAAAGAATTGAATCTACAGTTAAGTTCTTGCAAACTATTTCCTTAGCTTTCCCACAACAGTAGTTCGCAAGCCACCATGCAAACAATAGAGTAAGTGAAAGAATTCATTTTTCTTTGGGTAGAAAAGAAAATTGTTTCTTCAAGGTGAGCTCAAGCTGCTTACTTTATAATGTATCGCTATCATTTCCAAAGGAGAAAACAATGGAGAAGCTGAGGGTCAGCTGCAAGAATGGCTGTCAGTTAAATTGTAAGGGACAGTTTGAAGGATAATGGGTAATTAGGGCATCTCCAACCGAAAACCCCATCTTTCACTCTAAAATGAGGAAAACTTCGAAATGCTGCAATTCTCTCCAATGGTACTCTATTTCTCTTCTTTCCCGCCGTAAACATCTCTCTTGTTTCGCGCCTTTCCTGCCAAGCTAAAAAATAGAGCGATTTTCTGGCGTAGGTGAACAGTCCGACGTCAATATTAGCGTCGGACTGTCACCTGCGTGCCATTGACGTATTTTTTGGCGATCCATTGGAGCAAAAAAGCCACTCCATACATTCGAATGCAGTTCAGCTGGAGAAGCTCTTAGCTCCCTCGGAAATGAAAAGATATTATTAGCAGAGATGATGTATGTAGGAAGGTTATTATGAAGGTTAAAGACCTACTTGTTCTTCCTTCTCTGCTTCTTCCTGTTCTTTTCTACAGGAATCTTTCCCTCCCCGAATTCAACAATCATCATTTGCAAGTTTTAAAGCAAAATAAAAAGCCCATAAATCAATTTTCTTATATAAAATTGTCTGAACAATTAGAATACCATATCACCAGCCTTATTCATTAAGTTTATCAAGAAATTGGTCTTGAAATAGCTGCTTTTAGCACAGAATTTCAGAAGGCGCCCCTGCAGCTCGATCACAACCTATAAAAATGAAACAGCACAGAACTAAAAACAAAAACAAAACAAAACTCTTAAGAGAAGAAGTTCCACTTGGAAGAAGGCTTCTCCTTCATAGTTTTTGAATGAGACAACCCACCTTCCCTCTGCTTCCTCCTCCCTCCTCCCATCACCAACTTAGCCAAAAACCCGGCCTTTCTCTTGCCACTCTTCTTCTCCTGCTCCTCCATCGGCTCTCCTTCCTTGTACAAAGCAATCGACTTGCTCTTCCTCAACATATCCATTCTACCGTTCTTAAACAGCTCCAGTATATTCTTAGCGTTGAGTTCCTCATGCGGCGGAGAGAAATCCAAGGAAGAGGCTTCGGAATCAGAGGAAGAGTAATAAGCGGTGGAGGAGACAGTGGAAGAAGCAGCGTTGTTGGTGGATGAGGAAGACGATCTTGAGAAATTTGTGAGTCTATCGCGAAGACAATATGGGCAGACGCCATCGGAGTGCTTGTGGGTCGGATGCCTGTTACACCTCCCTTCCCTTTCCGACCTTCCCATCTTTCTACTGGTTTTTTCTTCTTTCTTATAAGTTTGGGGGATAAAGCTTGCTGTACTTTGTATCTTCAGCCAAAGTGAGCGGTTTATATATAGGAGACTGTTGGAGTTAGGATAAAAAGAGAAAAAAGTTGTACCAGCCTACTGTTAAGATAAGCTAGAATTATGATAATTTTTAGGATAATTACATCATTTACATTACACCTAAATAACTATTTTAGTTATATATAGAAGATATAAATTTGATTATTTTATTATTCACTCATAAAATTTTTAAAATTTATGAAAATTAAAAATAGTACATAATGTTAACTTCCATGAACGGATTCTCCTTTTTTTTTGGAACTGTGGTATCTACCCGCTGCCACCTCCAGAAAGAGGCATTTGACGGCGTAACTAATCTCTCGGCGAGTCTACCAGCAACCAACCCCACAGGTGCATGACCCACAGTTCTTTTCTCTCTACTTAAGGAGTCGTGTCGTATGAGATCGAGGGGATTTGAACTTAGGATGGAGGGTTCCCAACCAAGCTCGCCCACCAACCCACCTAAGCCCGGTGGGGTCTCCTTTTCTTATAGTCTATCTTGTGGATACACTTCCCAATGAGAACTTGATGCTCCCAATGAGATTTTTTTTTTCTTTTGAATTTTAGGGGCTTCCAAAGTGAGGAATTGCTTCCCTTCTATCAATAAGCTACACACGCGAGCTCGTGAGATCCTCTTGCTCCCACATCTTCTTCATTGCTGAGTTTCACATGCCATCGATCTCATCATTAGTGAAATCTCACCATGTCTCCCAACAATATCAATCCAATAATTTTGAGAGTGATTTATTTTAATTATTATTATTATTATTATTTGTAAATTTTCATCAGTATGAGTTTATTAAGTTAAATTAACCTATTATCTCCTTAAACTATGGTTAAAAAATGGGAAAGCATGGTAAGATAAGGGAAAATTGAATTAATAGACCCCATGTAATGCTTACTTCGCAGAAACTCAGGTAATAGACTTAGGTTGAACCATCATTTAATCTTGGTATGGTTATCCATTTTAAGTTCTATACTGTTTAGTTAATTTGAAACAAGGCAAGGGATGGAATGGGGGAAGAGAATTTCAAATTTTGCCACAATGTTTTAGGAGCATTGTGGCCAGGGGAAGGCCGGGTTGCGGTATTGAGCTTTCTATTTGGAAGAAGTTTGAGGGGAGCACTGCGGTTTTGCGTAGTGCCGCTGCGGTGCTCAGCTCTTGAGTTTGAGGAATCTGGGAGCATCAAGAATATTCAATTGAAGTGCAATGGCGCCAGGCCAAAATGAATTTTTATAAATATAAAATGTCTTAATTTATTTTCACCACATACCCCAGCCACCTTGGTGAAGGAGAGAGAAAGAAGAGAGAGGGATTTATAGGCCAAGGAGTTGCATTTGTACGTCGGGCTAGTTAGAGACTTTGTAGAGCACGAGGTAAATTTTGCCACACATGTATCTAATGTCAATTCCAACAAATTCATAAATTTTATGAAAGCAAATATATTTTCCTCGAGTTTTATGATGTTTTCACCGTGCAAGTTTTAGTATATTGTTAAATACTTTATTTTGAATGTTTTAGCAATAAGAAATTTCATTTCTACCAAATATTTTTATAAGTGAAATTAAATTATAAACAAATATTGAGACAAGTACATTATACTCATGCATTATATATTCTGATAACCCAACACATTGAATATAAATTATATTTGAGTTGGCTCTAATAAACCTTATTTTTATGTATGAATTCTGATGAAATGAGAAAATTAAGTGAAAATGAAATTAAGTGAAAGTGAAGTGCTGATAACTAGAGTTCTTTGACGCCTTTATACTTTTGTGATAATGAACTGTAAAAATACAAGTGATGGCTTTGAAACCAAGATTAGCGCACTTTGAGCTGACCCACTCCTCTCTGGTTCGCACTTTGAGCTGGCCTTAGCTCGTCTCTCCCATTGCTCTTGCCCAAACAAGTCCCACATGGACAGATAAGCGCCACTCTCTAGCCGCCTCTCCAGTCGCCTCTCCCTCTCCCAGCTTCTGAAGGCTTCACCGCCGTATGAAACCAACGCTGACGCCTCTCCCTCTCCCTACGCCCGAAGACCTTCGTTTACTGAGCTGAGCGGGACTTCCTGCTCCCGACATCTCTTCATCTCCTTGCTCTTGAAGGCTTTGTTGGTGCCTGAAGCCGACGTCGCTGCCTCTCCCTCCTGTAGACGACGATGACTTGGCGGGTCATGTCGGGTTGACTCGGGTCCGAAGCGGGTTTGGTTTGGGTTTGAGAAAGTAACCCGTTTGAAAAAAAAGCAATAGGGTTCGAGTTGGGTCAACTTGTGTCAGGTCAGTTCCGGGTTGGACCCAAACCCAACCTATAACCTGATTTATCCGGATGAAATTTTCAAATACATTTTCTTAGAGA